TATAGGGATGGCACCATTTGAGGCTTTATACGGCCGCCCATATCGATCGCCTATTTGTTGGATGGAGGTTGGTAAGAGCAGATTCTTGGGTCCTAAGTTCATCAAGGATACTTTTGAGAAGATCGCTCTTATTAAAGATCGCATGCGAACTGCTCAGAATCGGTAGAAGAGCTATGTTGATCGTCGCACACGTGCTTTGGAGTTTCGGGTTGGGGATCAGGTTTTACTCAAGGTGTCTCCTATGAAAGGAGTAATGCGCTTTGGTAAGAAAGGGAAGTTGTCTCCTCGATTTGTCGGTCCATTTATAATTACGGATCGAGTGGGAGCTGTTGCTTATCGGTTGGCACTTCCGGATACTTTGGATCGTGTGCATAATGTGTTCTATATTTCCATGTTGCGAAAATTTTTACGAGATGAGGATCAGTATCAGCATATCGATGTTGGGGAGATTGAGTTGCAACCGAATGCAACTTATTTGGAGCCGCCATGTCGTATTATAGACCGACGGGATCAGATTCTTCGTAATAAGGTTATTCCTTTAGTTCGTGTCCAGTAGAGTCATCACAATGACGCTAAGTTTACTTGGGAACGGGAAGACGTCATCCGCTCGCAATTTCCTGAAATTTTGGAAGAAGGTAAGAGCGAATTCTGAGGACGGAATTCCTTTTGTTAGGGGGGAAGAATGTAATACCCCTAATTTCAAAAGGATAGTCCTGGCATTTACTATATTGTTTAAATTGCATTTTTAGTTGTTGAAGTGCTTATGTGTTATTTTAATTGATTTAATGGTAGTTAGTTATTTAATTGTTTTCATTGTTTTTGATTTAATTGAATTTAATTATGTAATTGTTTTAATGTAATTGATTTAATTGTAGTTAGTTATTTAATTATTGTGTGCATTGAATTTAGTTAAGATTTTAGTTACTGGAATGTAGTTAATTAAATTTAGTTAGTTTTTAACGTGACTGTAAGGTTAGTTGTACATATAGTATAAACGGTTCATAGCCGACATAGTTTTAACCTACGTTGTTCTATGGGCCGAGTAAATCAGATTAGGGTTTAATTGAGCCTAGGATTAGTTTGGCCTATAAATATTCACCTAAGGTGTCTGCCTAGGGTTTTAGAATCATATTACGACATATTACGACATAGTTTGGAGAAATCTGGGAAGCAACAAAGGGAAGAAACAGAGAGTTGGCCGGAAACTTTAGGACGACGTCGGTGTAAGGCAAGTTCTATTCCTAACTCAATCCCTTGGACTTGTGTTCTTTGCATCTCTAATATAATTCCAGGAGTAAATCAATGTTAAGATTAAACTGGTTCGCATGTCTGAATTGTTCTAAGCAGTATGTTTATATGAACTGTTAGTTTCTTGTGTTAATGTTTCTTGCATTCTTCTTGTTCTAATTGAAGTTAATTATTGAGGATTGATTTTAAGACTCTCTAGAACACTAGAACCCAATTTTAAATCAGTTGAAACCTTGACAATAGAGGACGGAATGATGGAAACTACAGGAGATCAAACTGGTGAAGGAAGAAGAGAGAACTAGGCAAACTGGAGGTGGAGGCGGCTCCCCACAAGGTTTGAGCAGGCTCTAAGGGCTGTGGAGGTGGCTCTACATGGGGTGGAGCTAGCTCCACACAAGGGGGAGGCGGCTCCACCCTCTTTTGATGCTAGCTCGGTGTTTTTTTGCTTCTGGGTTCAGTTTTTGAACTTTTTGGAGTATTTAGGGACTGTACATGAGAGATTAAATGAGTTCTATGCTTATATTAAGGCTCCAGAGGATGTGGCAGTGGATAATAAACCACTTAGGGTTTATAGGTTGAACAGTACACAATTCTTAACAAAGTTACAAACTGTTAGCGGAATGCGAATGATTTGAATTGCTTAGGTTGTTCTAGCAATTTTCTGTAAATAATTATCAAATTCTAATCATATATTAGTGGTATAAAACAAGCATTGTTAAAACCTATATATTTTTACTATGCTTGTTAAGGGATTATTGATGTTTAGACTTCAGTAGTTATCGAATCAAGTGTTAAACTGGAAATATAAGCATGATGGTTGGCCAAGGTTTATTATGCTTGTTGTGGAGTTAATTGATGTAGACTTTTAATCATGTTCTCTCAATTATATGGATTTTGGGGATAAGTTAATATCTGCATATACTGTTGTATTATCAATTGCAGGATTGTTGGTTGGGTAGTGTAAAAATCAGTATGTTAAAAGATTTTAATTTAATATGCTCACTTATGGAACAATTGATGTTTAAATTTAATGTTTGGATTTATGGATTTGGATGATATTTACATGCTTGTTCTGTATTATCATTTGCTGGATGGACGGATTGTATGCACCGGTATTGGACTGTGACATACTAGGGGGATTAGCTCAAAAATCTCTAAGTCCTACCTACTCTGAAAATTAATGAATGGATTTAACTAAAAATAAATCCTATTGATTTGTAGTGTCAAGGCAACGCACTGTTGAGCGGCACTACTATGGATTCTGGATGGATTTTAAATATATTGTTATGATACCTCGATATGAGCTTGAGTCTCAGGATCGACGGTTTGGGTGTGTATATGCATTGGGATGCATAGCTGGCTATGACGGTTAGAGGTGTACCCTGTTTAGGCTTAGGTACCCATGCCCACCTCGTGTGTGTTTTGCATGTTGCCTCTATTCAGGTTGAGACCAGCCTGTAGTCCAGTGAGAGTCATTTAGTGTGAATATATATATATATATATATATATTTATGGACTATATAGTTATTGTTGAGTTGGTTAGGATGTACATGCGTATCGAGTCTCTACTTGGATTGTAGTATGATAGAACTTATTCGTGGGCCTGACCCACTTCTATTTTTTATGTACTCGTCAGTTCCAGACTTAGACATGATCATGCTGAGCAGAGATTACTACTCACTCTTCCGATGACGTAGGACTTCTCTCCATGGTTTACTTTGGATGTTCTTTTAGCAGTTTCATTTCAGTTTGGATTTTTATTAGGGGTCCACTAGAGATGGATTCCCGAGTTGTTGGAGGTTTTGGATTTCTAGATTTTCTACGCATTAAAGTTTAAAGGATTTTATTTTTAGAATTCATTCAGCTTCTATTTATTTCTTATTTCGTTTTGTATTCCGTATTCATTTTAAAATATTAATTGTTTGATATTCCCTCGAGTTTGGGCCTGAGCCTGATCAACCCGTGTCTCGGATCCGAAGGGTATCACAAAGGCAAAGAGTGAGCTGATAGTTTAAGAAACAGAAAAAGGTCCGAGAGTTGCAGAAGAGGCCGGAAGGTTGAGGCTTTGATGATCCAGTAAGGAAACTCTTTTTCAGTGTAGGGTACTCTATACCTCGAATGGCTTGGAGTGGTTTTGCTTCAATAGTTTTTATTAAATGTTTTAATTAAATGCATATGTATTTTGTTTATATAGTCACATGAATATGTATATTTTGTGAAGGTGTTTTGTTAAACCTTTATGAAATTCTTGTTATGGTTTTTCTTACTGGGACTTTTTGTCTCACCACCCTCCAGTTTCAGGTACCGAAGATGAACGTGGATTCCTAATGTCGGGCTTAGGTGAAAGAGTCGGCATTGCAGGATTTATTTTATTTATTTGGAGAATTTTGTATATTTTTTAGGAAATTAACTTTGTATAAAAGAGGGTTTCTTTTTTTTTTTTTTTCCCTGGATGTATTTTGATATATCTGGATTTGAATAAATTGAGGATTTTATTAGAATTTTCGGGTCGTGACAAAATGGTATCAAAGCATTTTATTAGAATTTTTGGATCATGACAAAATAGTATTAGAGCATTTTCTTAGAAAATTTGGGGTGTGACAAAATGGTATCAGAGCCTGTACCCAGTTGGAAGTGTGAATGTAGTGATAATGTAGACGAGTGTGAGTAAGCAAGTGAGTATTACTGGTTAGCTACCACTCATAGCCTGGTGTGTGTGGGCGGATGAGGTTCACTGGCAGCTACTGGGATGGTTGGTTAGTGTGATTTGGTAGGTAGCCTGGGTTTGTTATTGTTTTTTTTTTTTTTTTTTTAGTGAGCGGGTGATGCATCGACTAGCTACCACAATGGTTACGGAGTGTGTGGCGGGTGACTAGCACTGGCAGCTACCACAACGTCCTACATATCACGGTATCTCACATCGTCTAGGGTAGGGATTTATGGATTTTGTTTTGTGGTTATTGGTGTTTTCGGGTATACGTAGACTGTTGGATTCGAATTTCGGGGACTAAATTCTTTTTAAGTGGTGGAGATAGTGATAACCCGAATTTTTAAGATTTTAATTTAATATTTATTTCTTGATTTTTAGTTGTTAAGATTAAATAATTAATCTTTTTTTTAATTGGAGATTTATAGGTGATTAATTTTTGTTACATATGCATATATGATTTATATATATTTCATCTCATTAAATAAGGAGGAATGGACCACCTGCCGAATTAGAAAAGAAATGAGGAAGATTGAAATTGCGGGTCCCACTTGTGGCAATTGATGAGAATGAATTGCTTTGGTTGTATATATATATATATATATATATTTGGTGTGTGCTGTGTAAAGGAAAGAGAGCATGGTAGCCAAAGTGCGGGAAAAGGGAAGTGAGATTGTGATAATTTTGTGGGGCCCAATAAGAAGATATTCAATAAGGTTGTTTGATTTGACTATATTATATTATATTATATATATATATATATATATATATATATATATTGTCTGATGAAGGAGATAAGAAGGGAGCAGCCAAAGTGGGAAGAGAGAGAAAATTGTGATGATGGTGGTTGTGACTTGTGGGGCCCACTAGAGACTTTTTGGCCAAAGTTTCTTTTTACTTTGGTTCCTTCACGTGGGTTTTGACGGAGTGTATATGAAATAAAAAGATAATATAAGAAAGGAAAGTAGTGGGGTTCACATAGGTTAGTTGGTGGATTGCCTACATATTGGGTGCTTGTGACTTGGTATATATGCAAAAACAGAAGGAAAAATTAGAGTGATACAGAGAAAGAATGCAAAGAGTGAGCCAAGAGTTTGAGAAACAGAGAGAGGTCTGAGAGTTGTAGAGGAGGCCGGAAGCTTGATGCTTTGATGATCTAGCGAAGAAACTCTTTTTATACCTTGAATGGCTTGTAGTGGTTTTGCTTCAATGGTTTTTATTAAATGTTTTAATTAAATGCATATGTATTTTGTTTATATACTCACATGAATATGTATATTTTGTGAAGCTGTTTTGTTAAACCTCCATGAAATTCTTGTTATGGTTTTTTCTACTGAGACTTTTTGTCTCACCACCCTCCAGTTTCAGGTACCGAAAATGAACATGGATTTCTAGTGTCGGGCTTTGGTGGAAGAGTCGGCGTTGCAGGATTTATTTTATTTATTTGCAAAATTTTGTATATTTTTGAGGAAATTGACTTTGTATAAAAGAGGGCATTTTTTTTTTTTTTTTTTTGGATCCTGGGTGTATTTTGATGTATCTGGATTTGAATAAATTGAGGATTTTATTAGAATTTTCAGGTCGTGACACAATTGTTGCCCTTGACCAACCAGTATGCTTGTCTTCCTTGCTCATAGCATCGTTAGGAATCCGTCCGTGAAATAGAGGTGAGTAGCTCTCAAATTTCTTTTCACACTTTACGGACAGAGACTGTGGTCTTTGAAGATGAAGCCCAAAGTTAAACATTTTCTATGGCGTTTCCTAAATGATAGACTTTCGATGAAATTTTTAAGAATCGAAAAAAAGGTGTGGTTGATGATCCTGAGTGTTAATCGTGTTGCTTGGATGTTGAAACATTATCCCATTTGAATTCAACTATGATTCGGAAATGCTGTCTTCTTAGGGTTGATTCGATTGCTTCCATTGGTGAATTTTGGGCATACTGGTGGCTCGGATTAAACAATGAGTGGCAAGAAGAAGACTAGAGTTGCACATGGAAGAGCTTTGTTGTCACATTATGTTTTATAGAAATAGATTATATAGTGATATAAGTAGAAACCATAGTATTTCATCTATAAAATATGTCAGAAGTGTTTTTTCCATCCATTTCATCAGGGGTGAGTGCAAGAGACACCTGAAGTATACATTTCATAGTACTTTTACCTCCTATTTAAAAAGATGTGCAAAAAACACTCATATTCTTTTCAATTTGTGCAAAAACATCCCTCAATTAATATAATACCTATTTTACCCGTTTATGCTTCCAAAAATGCCCCTACTCTCATTTTTTCTTTTAACCCTTTTTGTTTCTCCAAAGGAGCTGCCGACAGAGACCAATGAGAACAGAGTATAGTTCAGCGGGTTGGCAAGGCGGCCAAGGAAGGAACCGGTGAGAGGTGCAGCGAGCTTTGTGCTCGGCTATGAGTCCGGCAGACTTGTGCGGCGAGGATGAAGATGATGGCAGCAACGAGGATCTAAGGCGGCGGACAGCGAGGGTCGGGATTCCAGTGAGGTGCTGAACCGGCGAGAAAGAAATGTCCATGAGTTGAGACGATGAGGTTCCACGATGGCGATGGGCTCACAGCGAGAACTGAAATTTCTAGCCTAATGTGGGAATAATAAGTGGTGGAGCAAGAACGGAAGCTTGAAGCCGTGCTGAACAAAGTGACTATTTTGCTATGGCGGCGCTGAAACTTTGGTCCAAAACCAGAATAAAATTAACATCTTAGCAAATGCTTAAAAGTGTATACTAAACATTCCTCTGCCAAACTACCTGATATTTGAAACTGAATCCAAAATTTTACTATAATGATATAAGGTAGCGACGCGAATTTCAGGTATTAATTAACCAACCTTGCAGGTTTAAAAGAGTCAAAATTCTGTTATTCAGTTGGCTTGGTCACTTTTTCCTTTCCATAGATATGCTGAAGTTCACGAGTTGCAGCTTGATATGATTCTGAGAAGAGCCAAAGATGAAAAATCTGTGTGAGAAAAAAATAGAGAAATATGCTTTTATCCTATATGCATTTAGAAAATGGTCACGATGCTGATTTCTCAGGCTTGTTTTAAAGAGGTTACTTCAAATCAATTGAAAAAAAAAATATTCACTTTTCCAAATGCGAAAATTCTTCTCATGGATAGGAGATCCAGTCACATTCCGAATCGCTTCAAACAACATATATTTAAGTGTGGCCCTCAGCTCTTGGACAAAAGCATAGATGGTCTTTCCATTAAAAAAGTATATATGATCATTTGGGTGTTTGGTCTTGTAACCAGCATGATGGTCAAAGTCAAAAGCATTGAGAATCTGAATAAAGCAATTCAAATGATCAATTAGTTTTAAAACTCATACTAAATGTTCCTCGGTGAACTTACTCCAACATCGCATCAGGCTTCCGGAAATTTCAGCGCCGCCATCGCAAAATGGAGATTGACTTGGGTAAGGCATGGGTCTGCGATCTGAGGAAGAAGACGAATGAGGACAGACGTTGGCCCCGGCGCTGACAATGCCAACGAACAAGGAGCAACTCGGCTATGATGTTTGGGCAGCAGTGGACCGGAGAAGGTTGAGGAGGTAGCGGAGGTGACCTACGTTGGCGGCAAGCACGCCGGAGAGATTGAGCCCAGAGAGGTTCTTGTCGAATTCAGTGCTGTTCCATGGACTTGGCGATTCGAGCTCATTAAAGAGGTTGCCGACCAGAAATATCGGTTCTTGATTACAGTAGGCTGAATTGGGTTGTCATCTTCTCTTCCTCCGGCAAACTAGGCGTGGTGTACCCATTTTAGTCATTTCACAAAATATTAATTTTTTTTATATATTATTAAATATTTAGCTAAGGGCATTTTAGTCATAAATGTGTGAGTATGACCTATTTGCACAAATGTCTTAGTTTAGAGGTGTTTTTTGCACATGAGAAGTGCAATATGCACGGTGAGTACACTATAGGAGTGATTTTTGCACTTTACCCATTTCGTTATCATATAGAATTTTGTTATGATTACTCAATTAATTATACAAAAGTTCAACATTATTAAACATGTATCTTACAACTCAACCCCTATACAAACCAGCTAGTAATGCCGCAATTTCCACAAAAGTGCCAAAACAATTTTAGCTGTCTAATTGTTTTGGCAAAAACTTCAATGAAAAGATAAAAGATATTGGGAGATAGATATCGAAATATGAAAATTTCTACTGAGGGAGTGGAATGTCAGCCAAATCTTGTGTGTAAGGGACGTGGTCCAATTCTAACATCTCCTCGGTGTTGCCATGCCCATTGTCAATGCGCGATTCGGCATTTGGGTCGATGAATGTCACAACTCGGTCTTTTCGAAACATCAAATATATAATCGCCGATATATAGATTGCCATGAGTGGAAACACTAGAATTCCAATGAATACATTTGCTGCTTTTGGTAAACTGCTGTGAATTAGCCAGTGAACGAAGCTGGTGCTCAAGTAATATATGTTCATGCCAAAGATTCCGAGGCCCAGTATCCATGAGAACACAATGATCTACATTCATAAGTTTGAACTTCAAATGGTCAGCTTAAAATGAAGTTCTGATTTTAATTTAAGAAAAAGAAATGAAGTTCTAATTTATGATATAAATTTTGTTAGCTTTAATTACAACTACTAAGCAAATGGGATTTCGTTAATATAGCTATTTTTATTTTAAGTTTTGCTTGTAAATGGACCACTATTTAATAAGCCTTGCCCGCCTCAAGACTTCTACTTATCCGAAATTTCCATTCGTATTGGATTGACAAATGATCTAACATCATTGTTATCGGTCAATCATGAAGCGATAACTTTATGTCATTGTCAATTAATTTTTTTTATTTTTTATTTTTTGTGATTGATCGGGACCATATAATAAAGATTGACTGCACAAGCCAAATCTTAAGCGAAAATAGCATAATAGTATCATCTGCAAAAGTAGAATTAACTCACGTATACAGAGTTCTTGTGTGGTCCCATTTTGGTGCTACCGTTACTGAATTTAAGAAGTGGGATGAGAGCAAATGGAAGCTCAAATGAGAGTATCATCTGCAAATTAAACCGATCAGAATTAAAATAAATATATATATATATATATATATATATATATATATATATATATTTGCTCCACGATGATTAAGTAAAAATGAATGTAAAATAAAAATGTTTAGACAGTTAACAAACCGATGCGATGATAATGAGTCGGCCAGCTCCTTGAGATCCACCAATAATCGAGACAATGAGACTAGGTATAATGGCAATGCACCTAGTCATGAGATTCCTCAACCATTTCCTCATTTTAAGGTCCAAGAAACCCTAAACATTTCGCCACCAAATATAAAATGTAATAGGTTTCGACAACATCAACTGCAATATATAATGATATTAATGCTTAATTTTGAAAACCTGCATGATAAATTGTCCGGCATAAGTGCATGTGATTGTGGAACTCTGGCCGGAGGCTAGTAATGCAATGGCATAAATAGTAGAACTCCATTTTCCTAATACATTCTGCAAAACGAGAAGGAAACTTTTTTAAAAAAATTTGTTTCAAGTTTGATTATGTAACTAAAATTTGAAGAACTTCAGAATAATTTTTAGACCTTGAGAAGAAAAGAAGCAGAGTCGAGGTTGAGATTATTGCATCGATCCACGGTTTCTTTAGTGAGGTTCTTGGCTGAGCAAACAGTACCCGAGACAAATATAACTGAGATATTGATTAAAAAAGCTACAAAGAATACGAATCCACTCTCAATTAAGAAGTATCGACACGCGTCCTGCATTAAAATTAATAAAAACATGAGTAAATTTACATTTATTTACGCTGTATGTGTATATCTTCACCCAGTGAAAAAGGAAGAACAAAAAAATTAACTGCATACTTGTGCACACACATGATGCATACGCATGTCAAATGAATTTGACGGATGTCTATTACCACCCATTGTCCGAGTGAGGGGCGGCTCAATATAACTTAAGGTCCTAGGCGAAAAATATAGAAATGGTCTTTATATCAAATAATAGCTAATAATGTTTATTTACAAATAAACCTTCCTACTTTTGGAGATGCAAAGTTACTAATTAGATTTTTGTAGTTAAGTTTTGTTATAGCATCTCTTTCAGTAGATAATATAGTTATAATCCATTTAGCCAGCATATAATTTGCCACCACTTAGAAACAAAATATACAATTTTATAATAACAGAAATTAATAAACCTACAAAATAATTTAAGGGATAAAGAACAATAGAACTGAATTTAGAAAAAAAATTGTTTAAATGATCCAAAACAATTCGACAAAGAAAAGTGCGTTCAAAATCTTAAGATAGAGTGAAATTACGAGATTGTGATGAGCGATGAACTGAAAAGAAGGTGTAATGAGAGGAGGGAGACATTGTAACAAGAGAGGTTGAGAAATAAGGAAAAAAAATTAGCTATAATGAAAGTTTCAGCAATTCCCACAACCATTAAAACATATTTAATAATTAAAGTTTGTGTAATGATAATGATAGAGGAGAATAAAAAACATGAAATGATCGATCATGAGAGGAAAAAAAAAAATCAAATAATTATACAAATCTTTTTGGCCCATTATTAAATCTCTCAATTTCGATGAAATAAAATTTTTAGAAATTTTATAATATATGAAAATAAAAATTTTGTGACTTCTCTATTGGCTGAAACTTTAGGTGACTATGACATTTTGGACCATACATGAAGCTAGAATAATTTTTATTTATTTATTTTTATTTTACGAAAAACACACTCACGCACTCGCTAGCCTCTCTAAAGACTTCAACCCCCAACTTTTTATTTAAAAATGGAAGAAAGTACCACCAAACTAACGCTAGTCTAACTATTATGTCATATAAATTTGATTGTACACAACTGTATTACATCATGACATGGTCCCACAAGGCAGAAACGATTCTAATTGGCTTCTTTCTTGAAAAACAATTTTTTATATATTTTGATGTGCATTTTCTAACACTATTACTTTGATGATGTCACACACATTACTTTAAGATTAACATAATGAACATTTTTACTTCGAAGTAATGAGTGTTCAATTCTGAAAGTAATTGTGTTCTGTTTTCACTGATTTCTGTGTTTTGGTTTCGGTTGCTTGTATGATTGTTCACTGAAAATAGTGCCACAGGCTCATTCATCAATGCACTTCTTGGGATGCAAACAAACAAATAACTAGTAGTAGGTATGGTGAGGAATTATTTCATTCAGTATTTAACATGTGTATTCTGTATCTGCATTTAGAGCCCTATATATATACACACACACATATATACATTAATGTGTGTTTTTATTTTATTTTGTGGATGTATATGTGTGTAGCATTGAGATTTATTATTATTATTATTTTTGAGTAAGTAAACGGAGAGGTGTTTTAAGCAGTTGTCTTACATTGATGCCTCGAACCGAGTTGGGTACCTTCCGAGAGAGTACAAGAGCGGAGTGGAGGAAAAGATTATGGCTGTTGAACATGAAAACAAATGCATATTAGTAGGAAAGCACAAGTGACATAAGTTATTCCATATTCATATTTTACTTGTAATGGTCGAATTAGCATTATAAAATTAAAGTTAATTCTCTTTCCTTATCATAACAGAATTTTACTGAAAAGTAGATTTAATAAAATTATTTATAAATTAAGAGAATTTCTTAAATGAAGAAGGTTAATTATTTTCCGTTGATAGAACATAATTAAGAGAATTTTTCGATTTCTTTTAAGTCATAGCAATTTCTTAGGGTCATAACTGCGGACATAGTTTGAGTCCTATCTGATTCATGTGGGGGGGGGGGGTTGCCCGGGTTCCGTAAATTAATTGGGGCAAAGCCCCGGACACCCGAGTATCGGAAA